AGGCCCGTCCTGCTGCAGCCTCTGCCGGAGCTGACCGGGAGCCCTCGGGGCCCCTCTCTGTGAGTCGTTCCTGGGTGCTGCGCCAGTCCTGTGGCACAGCTGGGCTGCACTGCCCGGCCAAGGGCCCAGCAGGGCTCGCTTCTTTGACCGCGGAAGGGGCCAGTGCCATGTCTCGGTCCGTCCAGAGTGCTCTCCGTGGTTCCTCGTGGCTGGAGCCATTGTGCAAAGATGGATTAGAAACTTGGGGGATTTTGTGTAGAGTTGGATGCTGCTGGCTCATCTGCATCCCCGTTGGTGCTCATAGCGAACAACTGGGCAGTGCTGCACCCCAGCTGAGCTGGGCTTCATTCACCCTGGGAAGGTAGAAGTGGTTGTGGGGTACCACTGGGCATGTCCTGGCTGCGCGGGATGCAGAATGAGGCCATCCTGTCTATGGTAGCTTGTGTGAGACCACTGAGTGTGCCATGATGGCATATGGAGAGTGTTCTTGTTAGCCCACAGGTGAATGCTGGGGGATGGTAGCCTCACTGTAGGGTTTTTGGGGTGCAGCTGTACTCAGGACTGTGAAGACTGAGAGGAGAATCTGGGTCCTGGCCTCGCTGGTGTGTCAGTGACGGGAAGGAGGTAGCAGAGACATGTGGGCTGAGTAGCATTCTCTCATATAGCTCGGTAGAGGTGAGGGAGGGAGGCATCCAAATGTGTCTGGAGAAGCGGGTGGGATTTCCAGAATGGGGACAGCCCAGTGTCCCCATGTCCTCAGGCTGCTTTCCTGAGGGAACCACTCTTTTCTTGAGGCCTCTTAGCATGCACATCCCCTAAAGGCATGCTAAAGGAGATGGGAACACAGCATGGGGCACTTCAGCCTGTAGGGAACCAATCTTGGGTTGGTTTTAGAGGCTACAGCTCCTCTGGGGTGACAGGGAGCCGGAGCTGGTGTGAGCAAAAGGAGGGCCATGCTGGGGGCGCAGGGATGTGCAGGGACATGCACAGGGACTCTTGTCCTGCACTGTATGTGTCCCTGCCGTCTGTGACTCCCTGTTCTTCCCTTGTGCTGCTGGCAGGCTTACGAGCTTTCCACACTGACCGGCACTCAAGTCCTGCTGCTGGTGGCCAGTGAGACGGGCCATGTGTACACGTTTGCCACACGGAAGCTGCAGCCCATGATCACCAGTGAGACGGGGAAGGCGTTGATCCAAACATGCCTCAATTCCCCAGACTCGCCCCCGCGCTCGGACCCGACCACTGACCAGCGCATGAGCGCCACGGGCTTTGAGGAGACGGACCTCACCTACCAGGTGTCTGAGTCGGACAGCAGTGGGGAGACCAAGGTAATGTTCCTGTGCTCAACCGCATCCCTGGCATCCTGGGGCCACAGGCTGTGCCCATGGGGCTGTGCTGGGAGCCCTGATCATCCCCAGCACTCCTTGAATAGCAGCTTGGGAAGCTGAGGATGGGTCCCCTTTTGCTGCGACTCCAGCGAGCTGGATGTCGTGGCCTCTCAGGGCTGGCTCCTTCACTTGGCTGGCAGTAGTGGTGATTCGGAGAGGGAGGGAAGTGGGTGGCAGGTGTCCTGGCCCTGGCCTTTGCAGCGGTACTCCCCACCGGCCCAGCCCACTCCCCTGGCCAGCTCTTAGCGCTGTTATCTTTCCCTGGGTGTCTCCATGCTCTTGCACTCATTGATAAAAATTTGATTCTGCCTCCATGGCCTTATAAGGCCTGGTTTCCCTCGCCAGAGTCCCTGGCAGGGCCCCTCACATTCCTTATAAGCTGCAGCTGTCTCTTGCTCTGATGCTGTTTTGGAAGGGGGCAGGGAGGACATGGGGAATGGAAACATTTGGCTGGACAGACCATTTCTGCTCCCTGCCTGGTGTCCCTGCAGGCGCAGGCCCTTGCCTGCCAGTGCTACTTGCAGCCTCTCGGCCAGGGTGCTGCAGAGGGCCTGCCTGTGGGTGCCGAGTCAGGCAATAGCCCTTTTCTGCTGGAAGGGTCCTTGTCTTGTCCCTGCATCCCCTGGTGCTGTTCCTCGGAGCTGTTGCAAGAAAGCTGGCTCCTGTGTCCGTGCTGCTTCCTTTGCAGGCTGGTACTCGGGTCCACAGGCACTTGGAGATAGGAGGCAGGGGAGTTTGTGGTGCAAGGCTGGGACGACATGCTGAACTGGGGGTTGTGCCACAGCTTCCCGGGCCTGCATGGAGTGCCATTGGGTGCTATGAGTTGTTGCAGCTCTGCTGTGCTCTCCTGTGCTCATGGCATGGGTACTGGGCTTGCTGCAAAAGCATCCTTCCAGATGAACTGTGGCCTTGCTCTAGGAGCCCTCCAGCCAACTGTGTGCAAGCCACAGCAACATCCTTGCCATACAGGATTGCCACTAAACATTAGGCAGACAGAACCTGACGAATGGTGTTTGAGATCTCTGTGCTGTAATCCCAAAGGCAGTGAGTGCAGCCCTGAGATGTGTCCAGTATGTTGTCTGGGGCTGCAGGGGTGTTCAGCTGCATGTTTGCATCCTGTGGCAGCTCTGGTCACGGTGCTACTGGGTACCCAGCAGCCATGATTCCTCCGTGCCCTCTTCTCCACATGTGTGCAGTGCTGCACCAAACAAAAGCTTATCGCTGCTGAGCCCTGAGAAATATCAGCAGTCCCAGAGATCCCTGCAGGCAGAGGAGCTGTGGTGGTCCAAGGTTTTGGTGGCTGGAGAGCTCTGTGGTGGAGCCCAGAAGAGTCCCTGGGAAGGCTTCCCGCTGACAGGAGCCTAACAACAGTCCTGGCTGTCCCAGTCTGGTGTGACTCCCCTGGGTGCCTCTGATTCCTAGTGTGAGCTATGCCGGCCTTTTCCAGTAGGCAAAGGACCCCATTGTTACCAGCAATTTCTCACTTGTGCAGCCTGTGTTTGTAAGGACTTGTGTCTCTTGGGCTTCTCTTGGGATGAAAAGGCGAGTCCTGTGGGCATTTTGTAATGAGACAGATTACCTGTGCCTGGAGTAATTTGGAGGTGCCGGAAGCGCTGTGCATGGCAGCTGACCTGTTCCTGGCATGGGGCTTGCCCACATTATGTCCCTTAAGATTTTCCCTGAAAATACTGCTAGGCGGCCCCAAAGGAGGTGTGCTCTTGGGGTGCAGTTACTCTGCAGAGGTCTTCTTAATGCAACTTCTCTCTGCCCACTTTCTGATGCAACCCACACTTACTGCCCTGCAAGCTCCATCCCAGTACTCACAAGTGGTAATGCTTAGTGTGGGGTGCCTTGTGGCCACAGCCAGCATTTGGTGTGGGGCTGGAGGAGCCCTGTGGCCCTGTCTTCTGCTTTACATTCTGGCTAAACCCACCCTTGGCGTGCTGAGGGTTCTTGTCATGGCAAGCCCTGGGGCTGGGGATAGTCCCACCCTGACCCTCCCCAGTCCTGCTGTGCTTTCTGCAGGGCTGAAAGCCTGCTTTGGTGCTCTGGCAGAGATCAGCCCAATTCGGATATACCAAGAAGCCCTTTGAGGATGAAGGAAGCCTGTGGTTGGGCCATGCTAGATGTCTGGTATCCTTGCTGAGGGGTGGGTGATACACACGGCTGGGTTACAGGAGCCTTGCTGGAGGAGGTGGCAGGAAATTAAGTGCCTGGACTGTCAGGTCCAGCCACATAGGATGCTCTGAGAGGGTTGGGCAGTTGCGCCCTGGCCTTCCTGTGAACTCTGCTTCATGGACCTCTGTATGGATGAAATCTGATTGTGTTAAGCTGCTGCAGTAGTAGAGGGGGGAGCAATGCAGCCAGGCTGTTACCTGCAGTCAGCAGTCCGCTGGTATTCCTTTGCGCTACAGCTAGCAGCAGCTATAAGATCCTTCTGCTTTGTCAGAACCAAACTCCCTGCCATGGAGCTGAGCTCAGACTGCAGCTGGGACTGGGGCACGCTGTATTTTCAAGACAGCAGCTATATCCTCATGATGATACTGTTGTGCACTGACCTGTCTGATCTTTTGTGGGCCCCAAAGGACACTGTCCTCATGTCACCTCCTTGGTGGTGTTATGTGGGAGAGGGTGTTTTGGAGGGAGCTCAGGGGCCCTAGATTGGGGTGAGAGCATGGGAGTAGCCCTGATCTGGTCATCTCTTTTTGGGATGGGGGAAAGATGGGACTTTCTGCCCCATCTGAAATGCAGACCAGGTGTTGGAGACCAGATTGGGATTTCCCATGTACCTCCAAGGCCAGTTGTCCTGCAACGTCTGCGTAATAATGCTGGCTGGGGGGTCTGGACCATGCTGAACAGCATTGTCCCAGGCAGCCCCCAGAAGCTGTGGAGTGGGATTGTTTCTAGGTTCAGGATGGGCATCAGACAGCCTGGGCCATGCCCTGTGGTCCACTCATGCTGTATAGCATTTATCAAGCATGCACAGTGGTGTAAGTCTGTGCAGACATCTGCCGCTACGCTGCATCTCTCTGCTGTGTGTTGATTCCCCAGGCACTGCTCTGCAAACTGAAGTTTGCAGTGAGCTATGGTGAGGAATGGATGTTCAGCTGGCTCAGGAAGGGAAGGTCCTTCAGGGCTGCTGTGCTGCCTCAAGGTTTGTCCATGGCCCCTTGAGTAATCTCTGCTGAAGGTCATCCATGACTTGGTTCCTGTTGAAGGCTGGTCTCGTGCATGTAGTCTGGACTTTGCAGGGTGTTGGCGGGAGCTAAGGTGCCCAGAGGCTCTGAGGCATCCCAGATAGGCTATGGGGAGAAGGCGATGGGTGTCCAATCCCAACATCTCTCCCAGCTCTCTTTGTGTACTGGGAGCTATTTCCGCAGTCCAAGAGAAACACGGCAAAGATGGGAGGAATCTGAGTCTCACTTGTGGCAGAGTAGGGAGGGCAGAGATGGGGCGCTAATGGTTCAAGCCTGCTGGCACAGCATCCCTCCCAAGCACCTTTGCTGTTCTGATCATACTGAGGTTTGCCCTCATGTTTCTAGGGAGCCCTGGGAATCCCCCTGAGCAGGGTGCTGTGAATCTTTTGGGATGCCTCCTCCAGCCCTGAGAGTACGGAGTGGGGGGGGATGCTAAGTGCCCTGCTGCTTGAGGACTATATCTCAGGGGTGTACAGCTTCAGGGCTATGCCTGGGGATGAGGGAGCCTGGCTTTTCCAGCTGGGAACAGGACCCGCCCTACTCTGCTATGGCTCCCATTGCCTAGTGGGCTGAGGGGAGCTCTGCCCTGTCACCCACGTGGGGAGGGTGCCCAGAGCCTCTGTGTCCCATGTGGGTTGGCAGGAGTTTGTGGTTGAGCTAATGGAAAGTGCCTCTGCTGGGCTCCACTCTGTTATCACGTGCCTCTTCTAATTCGGACTTCAGGGATTGCGGTGCCAAGGCAGAGGGGTGTTGCTCTCCTCCCTCCCCAGGACCTGGAGCACGGCTGAGTGCCCGGGATTGGCTCCCCCTGTCCAAATTGGGCTGCCTTCCCTTTTTTAGCTGTTCGTTGAGCTGTGAATTCCTCATTCCTGGCAGCTTGACAAGCTGGGAACAAGGCTTAGCACGTGGGAGAGCTGGGCCCACCAGCCTGCAGCGGGAGGGGTGGGAGTGTGGCAGCCTTAAGTCTTCCCAGGCATCCCGGCAGCCGTGGCAGGGTACGGGTACGGTAGATCCCTTGTGGCCTGTGGCACAGTCTCCTGTGGAGCAGTGTATTTACGGTCTGCTCTTGGCCAGCTAAGCAGGGTGAGACCCTGGGTATCCAAAAAGGGGTTTGGGGGAAGGAGGCATGTTAGGTGAAGTGTAACTGCCAGTGGCAGCAGGGATCATGCTGGGCTTGGTTGCTTCCTGCAGATCCAAGCCATGTCCAGCCACATGCTTTGTGGCTGCGGAAACTGGGGAGTTGCGTGCCCTGCAGCCTGGCATACACATTCCTCCCTTGTTCCCAGACCTAGGAGGGCAGCCTCTCAAGCTAGCATTGGCCCAGCGCAGGGCCCTTTTCCTCCTGGTGCTCAGCTTCCCTGGCGATGCTGTCCTCAGGCATAGAGCTCCGACACTCCTTGCAGGACCGTAGTGCGTGCTGGCTGTAGCTAACATGCGGGGTCCCTTGGAAGCATTTGCCTTGTGCCCATCTCCTGCTAGTGGACTGGCAAATGGGTGCTTCCCCTGGCCAGGTTCTCCCCTTTGCTCCAGGAGATTTGTGGAGGTATGCCCCAGGGCCTGCCAAAGCAGCTGTCAGGGCTGGATTTGGGCCTCCCTGGTGTCCGGGTTTGGCCTTACTCACCTCTCCCTTGCTGGTTTTGGTGTACAGCTGCCTTTAAAAGCCATTTCTCGGCTTGTTCTTAGCCATGTGTTTCCTGCCATAAGGGAAGTGGTGTGTGTTCCTGACAGGAGACAGCGTGTTTGCCTTTATGTCTGTCCCTGCAAAGACTGCTTTTGTGTGCCAAAAAGAGGCTGCTCTCTTCTTAGAGGCTATGGGGACTCCTGGGGAGGGGAAGGGTTGCTTCGTTCCCTGGTGTCTTGCAGGGAAGTCTCTCAGGGGACCTGTGTGTCCCTGGGCTTGTATCCAAGGTTTACGCTGAGCTCTTGCCAGCTCTCCTCATGCTGCATTATTGGGCACAGTCTCCTCATGTTTGTACAAGCAACTCGTCTCTGCTACCCTGGCTCTGCTCCATGTGCTGGCAGCAGGCTATGGGGGTATGGTTTAGCATGGGGATGCAACCTACGGAGCCTGGTTTGGTCTCATGGGCAGATGTTGACCAGATCCAAGGGCTGGTCTGAGTTGTCACAATCTCTCCTTCCCCAGGACGCACTGAAACCAGCGTTCACTGTCACCAACCTGCCGGGGACAACGTCCACCATCCAGACAGCCCCCACCACCTCGACCTCCATGCAGGTCAGCAGTGGCCCGTCATTCCCCATCACTAATTACCTGGCGCCAGTGTCTGCCAGCATCAGCCCCAATGCCGTCACCAGTGCCAACGGGACAGTGCTGAAGACTACTGGAGCCAGTGCAGTGACATCTGGGGGCCTCATGCCGATACCCACTGGCTTCACCCTCATGTCAGGTCAGTGCCATTAGGGGCTGAGGACTGCATCCATCCATTTCCGCACCTGGAGCATGTTGCTGCCCTCTCCAGAGGAGAGGAGACCTAGTGGCAGGAGGAAGCGGAGTGGTTGCTGCTGTAGGGTGAACCTGGCTGGGATTCCTTGCTCCAGCCCAGTCAGGCCAGTGGCTGGAGAAGGGTCATGTAGTGACTGTTTCCTTAGAGTGCTGCTAGCTGGCCCTGCTGCTGGGAAGGGTGTGGTGGCGGGGAGCTGAGCTGGGACCCCAGGGCAGCACCGAGAAGCCTGGAGGGAGTGAAAAGAGCTGGTGGTGACAAAGCCTTTCTTTCTCCCTCCTTTTGGCAGGTGCTTCCCTTTCTCCGGGGACCCCTACCATTCCTCTCACTCAGTTACAGCCGCACTCCCTGGCTCTTTCCAGCCAGCAGGGCCAGGTGGTCACGGGTATGGCTGGGGAAAAAACGTCTTCAGCTTCCCTGCCAGAGCTGGAGGGCAGATCGTGTCGCTGACAGGTCAGCACTCGCTTCTCCTCCGCTTGCTTGAGGTGGGGGGATGGAGACGTCTGTGGGGGTCCTGGTCCTGGCCAGAGAGCTGATCCCCAGCTGAGGTGGGAGCACAGAGGAGGCAGAGCACAGGGCACCCTGGCTGTGGCTGTGGGGGAGAGGTTGGAAGACAGGGCAGAGAATGCTTGGCATAGGCAGGAGCAGCATCCTGAGGCATACAGACCAAGGGAAGCAGTGGGTTGTCAGTCTCCTCCCCCAGGGTTTGCCCTGCGGCTAGCAAACGCCGAGGAGGCAGGTCCCTGGTGCAGCTGTGCTGAGGCTGAACTTTGCTGCTAGGAGGACTGATGGAAGGAGAACACAGGGGCTCAGATGCCCAGTAGGTGTTTTTTGAGTACTGGTATTTGGCTCTGAGCAGCTGCCCTTGCTTTTGTATTTGGATCTGCAGTCAGTCAGTGAACCACAGTGCAGAGGATAGATTAGGAGAGACCCAGAGCAGAGGAGGGAGTGGTGCTGCGGTGCTGCCTTGTGTGCATTGTCCTTTGTAGGAATTTCTTGTTGCGCTGAGTCAAGGCTCTCCAGGTGTTATACTGGGGCTGGACATGTTCCTGGCTGGAGTTTCAGAACAGGGCTAGGGTCTCCTTTGTGGGGGCAGCCATCATCTAAGGACCAGCACTGAGAGTGACACAGTATTTCTTGTGTCCTGCCTGTTTGTGCCCAAGTTGATGAGTCTGATAGCCTGCATGCTTTCTTGCAGCCCTTATGGCTCCTGTGGACCCTGGCAGATAGCGTGATCCCATGCAAGGGGACTGGATTTCCCTCGTGATCTGGAGGAGCTAAGAGAATAATGGACGTGTGTCTCTGGTGTGGTGTGTGGAGAGATGTGCAGTCTGAGCAGGGTGGCCGGTGATTCCTGCTCTCTGGCATCCATTGCTCTTCCCTCTGGAGACAGGACCTGAGCCTGAGGGGAGCTTTCTGTGCCGAGCTCCATCTCTGGAGCTGAAGAGCTTTGCAGTGAGTGGGCTTGGCCGGAGACTGTGTGACCGTGCCCCTGCAGCTCTGGGACGCACACCTTGTGGCCCAGTGGTCTCTAATCCCTGTGTAGGGCATTGTGATGTCCTTGAGATTACAGGCTAGGTGAGATAGCTGTTCCCAAGTGCCCTGTGGGGGACGGAGCTGGGCTCCAGAGTGTGAAGGCAGCAGGGCCCAGCTGGCCTGGGCATTTGGGCTCTCACAGTTCTGCTTGGTGCAGTGAGATGATTCTTGCAGGGCTGGCAGAGCATGGGCAGTGCTGGGGGCATGTGCTGGGCCCTCTCCTCCTAACATCATCTGTGCTGTGTCTTGGTGGAGCCAGGAATGCTGACATTCCTGAACCATGCCTGGGAGCTGGACAAAAGCTATTGTGGCCTTTCCTTTTCTCTCTGGAGCCCTGTAGGCCAGCTAACCCCTCCTTGGCCCCTGTGTGCCAGGAAAGAACAGGTTTTGGCCTGCTCTTAGGTCAGGGCCTGGTTTCTGCCACGTGCTGCTTTTGGCTAGCCTTCCCCAGTGCAGTGCAGAGCCACACTGTGGAGCTGTGTGAGGCCACAGAAGGACTGGGGGGCTTTCGTGTGGCCCAGAGTACCTGTATCCCTGCTGAGCCACAGGCTCACAGGCTCCTCTCTCTCCCCAGGTGGTACCATGGCTCAGCAGGTCCCAGTCCAGGCGATCCAGGTGCACCAGGCACCGCAGCAAACGTCTCCCTCTAGTGACAGCAGCACTGACCTTACCCAGACCTCTTCCAGTGGAACAGGTAATTGGGACATTACGGTAACCATGTTCTGTCTGTCTTCCTAACCACTGCTGATAACAACCCACACCAACAGACCTCATGCCTGCTCCCTGCCCAAGATCCTTCTCTATCCCAGCCTTTCTGACAGTTTCCCAGGTGTATTTATTCCTGTTGATAGCCCCTGCACTATGCTATATCTAGGTAGATGCTGCCAGGCATAGGGCACCTTACAAGGGATTTCAGAGGCTCTCCAGACACATCATCTGCTCTTACTTGCAGCATGGAGCTGGGAACAGGTTGCCCAGTTCTCAGGTGGTTTCTTAGTGAGCCAGCATTGCCCCTAGCACAAGACATTGGCTCACATCTACTTGAGATTTTTACTGTATATGCAGAGCACACCTCTTGTCAGCAAAATCTGAGTTCAGGTGCCTGGATGCAGGCTGAATCCAGTTGAACAGCTTTATTAAAGCTTTATCAGGAAACTTGTATCTCAAGTTGAATTTAGTCCTGGGATATTTGGCTACCGTACTTTTCTGCCCTCTCATACTCACTCATGAAAGGAGAGGTTTGAGCTCTCCTGCTTGTTCCCTGGGGCTTTTCCCCAAGAGCTTGGGAGAACAAGATAGGTATCTTCATGCACCTGCTGCTTCAGGACAGCATGCCAAGGGTGGCTGAGGGGAGGGGTGCTGAGCAGGTGTGTGAGTGTAGCAGACTCCTTTCGTGTGGCTCACATGTAGTCTGTCCTGGTGCCAGTGACCCTCCCGGCGACCATCATGACGTCGTCTGTGCCAACCACGGTGGGTGGCCACATGATGTACCCCAGCCCACACGCGGTGATGTACGCGCCCACATCTGGCCTTGCGGATGGTGGACTTGCAGTCCTCAACGCTTTCTCACAGGCCCCCTCAGCGATGCAGGTGTCCCACGGCCAGGTCCAGGATCAGGGTAAGACAGCTGTCTGGGTCAGTGCTCCCTTAAGTGCTCTGACACCCTGATTTTTCTCATGTCTCATGTATTTATGTTGTATATTAATTTCAAAGAATTTTCTTCTAAGCAGTCCTGGTGGCTGTACAAAGGCCTGGCAAGGGTGATGCTTGATGCGCGCTTTTAGATCCCGCCACTCTCCTATGCAAAGGATTGCTTGAGCTATTTGCTGGGGAAAAAAAGTGAGGGTTGCTGGGACGGGTGGCATATGGGGCAGGCAGTGGAGGGAGCTAGGAGACTCTGGAGAGGATGTGTGGTTGCATGAGGGGGCAAAGCAGCATGAAGCCGTGCAGGCAAGACATGGATTGAGGGCTTGTGACTGCTTCTCCCAGCATTTGGAAAACTAGCGCATGTGGCTTTCTCCTGGGATGCCGCCATGCATGCAAACAGGCACATTCATCCTTGCTAAGCTCCATGGAGCTCAGAGAAAGGACCCATGAGCGAGCACTGTTTAAGGTACAGTCTCATTTGTGCGCTCTCTCTGTGGCAGGTGGCGTCCCCCAAGTGTTCCTGACAGCCCCATCAGGCACCGTTCAGATCCCAGTCTCAGCTGTCCAGCTTCACCAGGTAGGCGCAGAGTGGTACTTGCAGGTGTTCAGGGGGTGTCCTTGCTCTGCCCCTGCCTGCACATACTTTGTGAGTCTGGGCAGACCCAGGCCCTTGGGGAGGGTCAGTCCTCAGGTCTGGGAAAGCTGTCAGTGCCACCCACCCTTGGGTGAGGAAGTCTTGCCCTCCTTGGACAGATGCCCAGAAAGGACAGTGCCACCCTGGCTGCTGGCACACATGGTCTTGGGGCATGCTCTCCCCCAGTGCTTCCTCCTCCCTTTTCTCTCTAGATGGCTGTCATCGGGCAGCAGAGCAGCAGTGGCAGCAGCCTGACGGAGCTGCAGGTGGTCAACTTGGACACCTCACACAGCGCCAAGAGTGACTGAGAGGCCTCTGCTGCCGGCCTTGTGCTGTCCCTGGCTTGTCATGCCAGTGCTGGGGCTGGTGGCAATTCCTTCTCGTACAGACTGCACCAGTTATTTATTGTTGCCTTTTCACGTTTCCTTCATCCACACATGCACACGCACACACACACGCACCCACCCACCCACACACACACACACAGGCATGCGCATGGGGCTGCAGGACCCATCTGGGGTGGAGCTGTGCTGGGGCCATGCAGGGCTTAGGGGTGTTTGGAAGCTGTGATAGCTGTGCTTGTCTCACGCCAGCCAAAGAAACTTGTCTCTTGGGGGGAGGATTGCTCTGTGCTGTAAATAAATACTGTGGGCCATTCCCAGCTGGAAGCTCTGGCTCCTTCTGGGCACTCCGAGTCACCTTGCCCATGAGCGTTTGCTCTGCATGGGGCTCAGCTCAGACCCAGAGCGGTCTTGCGGGCGCAGTTTGGAGCGGAGCAGGCCAAGGCTGTGCTGCTGGCCTCAGCAATGTGCCTTTGTGGGGGTGACAGGTCCTGGCCTCAGCAACTCGTCCTGGGCTCTGGACAGGGGAGAATGGCCAGCTTGCATGTGCATCTCTAGTTGGGCCTGTGTGCCCTCCCTCTGGAGGGCCGGGCACAGCCTGCAGCATGTGGCCCTGTCCTCCTCATATGCACTACAGTGAGCTCTCTGCCCTCAGTGCCTCCTCACTGGGCTGTCTGGCAGATTTGCAGCCTGCCTGGCTCTGCCCTGGCAGCTGCCCTCGCACAGCTGAGGTGGTCAGTGGATGCCCAGGAGTACAACGATGCCCCAGAGAGCTCCTGGGGGGCTCTGTGGCCAGCCCAGCCCCACACTCTTCTCGCAGCCCTCGCACTGCTTGTGGACTCCGTACACCCAGGGGAATGTGGCTGGGTCTTTCGCACATCCTCCTGCAGCTCCAGCCAGCGCTTTCTAAATTTCTGTGTCTGATGCAAGGTGGAGAAACAATTCAAGTGTCAAACGGAAGAGCCCATGGGGGGCACTGAGCTGCTGGGCAGGTGGCAGACTCTTCCTCTGAGCACCAGGGTGACCTGCAGGCCATCCTGGGCTGTGGAGGAGCAGCTGTGATGCCTGTGCAGGCTCAGCAAGGCTGGGGCAGAAGGGCTGGAGCGTGCTTGGTCCTGCATGGGAGTTGCTGTGAATGGCTCTGCTACCTAGCCCTGTCCCTGGAGGGAGAGTGAGCAAGTGAGAGAAGCTGCTGAATCCTTAGGGGAAGAAGCAGCTACTGTAACTTTTTTTTTTTTTTAAGTTAAAGACAAAAAAGAAGCCTTGGAGTAAAAAAAAAAAAAAAAAAAAAAAAGAAAATTACTTTATTTTTCTAAGTGTTAAACTCAGTATTTATGTAATTCTTTAAGGAATAAAAGTTTGGCTCCTGTACAGTTTTCATGGGGTTTGTACCAGGGGGATGGGAGAGGGGAGGGTGGGCATGGAGGCAGGAAAGGGGCCTTGCTTTTGAGTTTGTATTGTAACCTTGGACATGTTCCCTCAGCATTAGCGTTTAAGGTGCGCTCTCCACCCACCAGCATGTGCCAGGGATCAAGCTGAACCAAGTGGCATGCTTGTTTCCCGCTTACCTGAGAGTGGAGTACTGAGAACTCCATACCCATCATTTTGGGCTTAACAGGCAGAAGGCAAGTGAAGCAGTCTCTAGAAGTGGGAAACCCATCCCTCAGGAGCAAGGGGCTTGCAGTGTGCCTGGGAGCCAGAGATGGGCTGGGTTTTCTGATGGCTACCCTGTTCGATTCTGGTCCTGGGACCTGTGGCTGTTCTGTCACTGCTCTTGGTGTGGAGCAGTGCTTACCTGTGACTGCCTAAGGGATATGGGCATCCCACTCCTCCCTGGGTGGCGAGTGGCCAGCAGTGGCTGATCCCTGTTCTTCCTGCTCACTGTGCAGGTAGCATCTCCTGAACTCCTAGCTGATGTTCTGGGCTGTAGTTCCCCCCTCTACAGCTGCTCCTTACTGCACAGATGTGGACAGGTCCCCTCCAAGCACCCTGTGCAAAGAGCTCCCAGAATGGTCTTTCAGCCCTCGGTCTGTTATGCAGCCTGGGAAGGGCTTGTGGGGAGTGGGATGGCCCACTGGTGAGAGTAACATTGCATGCTGCCTCCCCTTAGTATCCTTGCTCTAAGAGTGATGCGTATCCCGCAGCTCGGAGCATGTGGGAGTGCTGTGCCATGCCACACTGCTAGATGTATGAAAGCTGCTCAGTGATGCTTCCAAAACAAGGCTGGGTACCTAAGAGTTCATCCAGGGAGAAGAATGGGGTTGGGGTTTGCATTGTCCTTTGCCCCAGCGCATCACTGTGGCCTGGCTTTCTCCGCTTTGCTTGTGCTAGAACTGTGGAGCAGAGTTGTTGGGCCGGGATGGCAGGAGTGCTCCTGCTGCTATAGGGTGTCTGACTGCATCCCTTCCCTGGCTCCCCAAAGGCAAGTGCTGGTTAAACGCTAATGGTGTATTTTATTTAAGTGCAGACTTGTAAGAACACTCGTGTATCAGGGATGAAACGGCATTTATTGTGTGGTGACATTTTTAGTTCATTTTACTGGTTTGAGGGTTGTGTGTGCGCGTGTGTGCGTGTGTGTACGCCTAAGTGTGTGTGAGATTATTTTTTTTTTTCCCTCCAGTTTCCAGGGTTGTGTTTCTGGAAGGATGTGGAAGTAATCACAGTACTATGTACAGAGCTTTCTTTTGTATTAAAAAAAAATTACTCTTTCAATAAATGTTATCATTTTGTGCACAGATTTGGGATCTTGGCCGTGCTTTGTGGGAGGGGACAACACACACCTGAGGGCCAATGAATGGGGATCAGAGGCAGATTCCTGCACCTATTTGTGTAATGCGGAGGGTGGAGGGGCTGTCTGGGCATGATGTGGCAAAGAAGGGCTCATTGCAAAAGTCTCCATTCCCACTGTGTCCTGCACAGGTGCGACCTGACCAGCTGGACTTCTACTCTGGGAGTCTCAGAGCCAGTGGGTGGGCCAGAGGGGGCCTGTGGTGGACAGCAGGGCCGTGAGGGCTGTCCTTTCTGAAAGCTCGGGAACGGTGCTGGTGAGCAGGGCATGGTGTCAAGTCAAGAGAAATAAAAACCAGGAATGAGGAGTAATGGGGACTACTGAAAAAGAAACAATTGTTCTAATTCATGGGTGTTAACAGGGAGGACAGGAGGACCTCAAGCAAGAGTTAAAACAGGGAGGAGAAATAGCCCATGTTGCTTATGGAGTAGTTAGGCAATAACTAAGGCCTAGGAAGAGGAATTTTTGTCACTGTAACATCAAAGAAAAGATGATCCCTAGGCCTGGCCCCAGGTGGATTATATATTTATATATTGATAACTTACCCCAAACCAAAGGAGGACAGAGATATTTTTTAGTAGTGACAGAGGTATTTCCAGGATAGATAAAAGTTTTGTATGAAGATGCTGCTGTTAAGGTAGTGTTTACCTGATATGGGACTCAACAGATAAGTGATGCTGGCCAAGGCTCTGTCATCATGGGAGATGTCATGCAGCTGGCATATCAGAGCATCCAGACATGGTGGTTGGTGTGTGCAGTACCATCCCCAGGACAAGGACAAAGAACAAACTGGGCTTTAAACCAGTTGGAAGGCTGCAGGCAGAACAGCTTCCTCTGACATTGACAGGCATCTGATCCGGGTCTCAAATGAAAATGAGATTGTTTCCCTTCCCCTCTTCCAAGTCCATTACTTTTGTACACCTGATGTCCATGTTCCGCATGCCTACACAGATGTATCTCATGGTTCAGCACGACAAAACCTGTATCGGCACAAGTAACCCCATGTTATTTGTGCTCAGGGGTCTGTGTATGACATATAAAACTCCTAACATGGAGCAAGATACTACAGACATAATCTTTATTTTTAGGATAAATGACCGACTAAGCATGGTATCAAGACCATCAGAGCCAAGACAGAGGCAAGGCATGTGAATACCGCAGAAAACCTTTCAGTGTCACAAACAAGATGCCTGTGTCCTATCCAGCCACTGCCTTTTATTGCTGGTGACAATTTTGGCTATGGGATGTTGCCAGCTGATGTTACCAGCCAGGCTGCATTTCCCGCTGCAGACCATTATCACCACCTCATGTTTGTGACATTAAACACAGCAATGTTGCAGGTGCAGCACATGCACAAAGTAACAGCTACCAAGAACAGAGGAAAATAGCAATGGTTGTGCGTGTAGTATCAGCTTTTATGTAGTTGTGTGGCATTTAGGAAGTTATTTTCCCCTTCATTAGTGCAAATATACCGTGTTTACAGGAGTTGAAGGGACTTGTAAAGGCAAAACATGATATAAACAAGTATCAGTTCAATCCTCTAAATTTTAACAATGCCTTGGGAGTTAATAGGGAAGGAAAATGACATGTTAATGGAAAACAGAAATTTCAAGAGCATCCATGGGATTCTGGAAAGAGAGCATCAATAGCATCAACAGAGGTTACACATACTAATGGAGAAGTCAAGAGGCTGGCTTGGAAACACAAACATTTACAGTCCACCATTGGTGCCACACCTTTAGAGGATGGTCCCCACAGACTGATGCATCACTGATTTATCCAGCCTATAGTTAATTGCAATAATATTGTATTAATTGCTGATTGCTATTGTAAAACATGGAAATTGTCTAATCAGTTGCATTAGTACTGAGGGTAGAAATGAGGTTGGGCACATACATGAAATTGCTTCAGGATCAAATAAGCAAGCAGGCTCTCATCCATTTAGTCTTTGACTTTAATGTTTATAATTTAAAACAAATGTTAACAGACCGATAGAAACCTGCACCTACTGGATTGTAGCTAATTGCTGTGAGGCCTGTCAAGGAAGTGAAATATGGGCAAACGATAAGAATTTAGATTTTATGGTATGGGCATTACAGATCAGTATAACACCAAAGCAGGGAAGGAACTGGAAACAGGCCAAACTTGTGTGCAACTGGCTTCAATTGTCTCTCTAGCAACATTGAGAATAGGACAGTCTTACAACCCAAAACCTGCGAAGAGTGAGCACAGTTCTCACTGAAGTAAGCCAAAGAAAGTGGAGGGAGGGTGGGGGTGCAGGGCTGAAATTACCACAGAACCCCAAGCCTGAAGAAGTTGCTGCACTGTAATTTTTGCTTAACACTGCATTTGCAATAACGTTAGTGCTGACATTACATGCTTTTGGCCTTCCTTTCACCTACCCTGCAAAGGTCCTTAGCAAAGTTTATTAATCACCAGAGAAACCATACCAACACACAGTGTAACACAAGCATCTTGAGCTCTTGCAGATGCAGTCTTCAGCTCCCAACCTCAATTTTTTATCGTTTCTAATATTAGCTAGGAGAATGAGAAGATAGTCTGATTTTTCATATTTTTCTGTCCCTCACACCCATTTCTAGCGTGCAAGCAACATGGGGGGCAGAAGCTCTGTCACACACGGTTGGAGTGTGCCACCACAAACAGGCCCCCCCGCTCCCAGGAGCCAGCCTAGGCCTCCGTCCCCCGCAGGAGGCCGGGCTGTCGGCC